GCCCGTTGTCACAGATGCACGACACAGTCCTAACCGTGCTCCACGAGCTCCCTCTCTTGTTCAGAGCGAGTCTGATGCGCAAAGCCCTGTTTTTAATCTTACAAGGTTTTGAAAATGGAAAGCGATATGTTCCGACGACGGTTTAGTAGACGAGGAGCTTGAATTAGGGGTCAGGCTCAATTTGATGGGGAAGAGGTGGGATTTAATAAACTATGCCTGGGGACTATGCCTATTTCCTGCAGAATGTCTTTAGGCTGTTGCCCTCCACCCTTATGGAAACATCGGTATCCTAGGAGAGAGGGCCCACTTTGTGAAGCCATATGGCCAGTGGTGGAATCCTGCTGGTTTAACAACCAGTTTGGTGATCGCACGCTTCGCGCATGCCTGATGTGTGCTGTGCACGCATGTGCAGTTTTACGAAAACTTAACACTTTACCGCTGTGGAGGAACACAGCTGAAACACAGCAATCCGTTCTGCCGCGTGAATCAGCTGAGAAGATATAGGTCAGTAAAGCGCAGGGAAGGTGGGCGGGCCCACCTGGTCATCGGAGCTACCGGTTCGCTCGAACTGGTCCAAACCGGTAGAATCCCACCTCTGCATATGGCACCCTATTACAGGGGTCTGCAACCTTAAATACTCAAAGAGCCATTTGGAAGAGGCCCAGAGGCTGAATCGTATAACAGTAATGTCCGTCATAATAGGTCAGGGGTCAGCAACCTGTGGCTCCTTGGGCCCTCGGCTGTGGCTCCCTGTCAGATTATCCCACCACTGGCTGGCCCTCCCCTCCCAGGGGAGGGGAGGGCTTGGCCTGAGAAGGTAAGGGCGACGGCGGGGGATAGAGAAGTGGCCAGGGCCACAGAGAGATACAGAGAGAGGGGGGAGAGAGGGAGGGAGGGGAGAGAGAGAGATATGTCAAAAGGATTTTATGGTTCCCGATGTTTTTTAACAACTGATTCTCTGCCCTAATGACCAGCTGGGTAGGCGTGGCTTGGGGGGGTCATGTTACTGGTGGAAGTGAGTGACATCGATTGGCCACGCCCACCCAGGTTTTGTGGCTCCCGGTGTTTTCTTTTCTGTGGGAAACAGGTCCAAATGGCTCTTTGAGTATTTAAGGTTGGAGACCCCTGTTCTAGACTGAGGGTCATTTCCTTACTGTTGCTCAGTGCGTTTCCTCCCAGTCAGTCCTAGAAGAGATCACCCTGACTGCTCTTTAGAAGGCCAGATCCTGAAAATGAAACTCAAATCCTTTGGCTACCTAATGAGAAGGAAGGACTCATTGGAGAAGAGCTGAATGCTGGGAACGATGGAGGGCAAAAGAAGAAGGGGACGGCAGAGAACGAGGTGGCTGGATGGAGTCACTGAAGTAGTCAGAGGAGCTTCAATGGACTCCAGAGGACGGTAGAGGACAGGAAGGCCTGGAGGAACTTTCTCCATGGGCTCACGATGGGTCGGACACGACTTTGCAACTATCATCAACAACAAAACTTTGCCCTAATTTTTTTTTCGTTTTCTTCCTCGCGTCATCACCCCTCAAAACTTTTTTCCATTTTTTTAAAAAAGCAGATAGCACCTGGTAGTCACTACTTCCATCACCAGCCCCAGAGCCTCCCAATGACCCAACATCCAGGTATTTTGGAGGAAAAAAGTAAAAATAGCTGTCAAGTTATCTGCCACCAAGGAAACTGCTAAAAATGGAAAAGTTCTCGCTCGCCTGCTGCCTCCACCCTTTAAAAAAAGAAAAAACCGAAAAAAAGGTTTCCATGTTGTTCTTTTCCCAGAAATAGATCAACAAGAGGGGAGAGGTTAGAACTACCTGATACTCAGAGCTAGTAAATAGATTCGTAATCCAAAATCCCAGCATAGGTGAAACCAGAGCCAACTCAAATGCTGGAAACATTCCACAATAAGCTGTTTGTGGTCTAGGGAACATTTTGTTTTACAGTCTCCATTGCTAACTATGCAAGGCCATGAATCCAAAAAAGATTCATAGATGCTCTAGTACAGTGGTCTCCAACCTTAAACACACAAAGAGCCATTTGGACCCGTTTCCCGCAGAAAAGAAAACATCAGGAGCCACAAAACCCTTCCCATTTCTTGAGCGGCCACAAAACTAGCATATGTAGTTGAATTAAATGTTCTGTTTTCTTCTGAAACTTTTCTTTTCTTGCATTTATCCATGGTTGGCCTACCAGGGGTCGAAAAGCTCAATAAATCGCATTCTGGTAGGTGTCACACATTGGCGGTTCTGACGCATATTTTGAGTGACAGGGAGCCGCAGCAGAGGGGTGAAAGAGCCACATGTGGCTACAGAGCTGCAGGTTGCTGACCCCTGCTCTAGTACAATACCTCTTTGGTGGACTGGAAGGCAAAATAAAGGCAGCCATAAAATCAACTGGGAACTTAATCTTGGGCAAACTGACAATATTCATGTTTTATTTACGTACTCTCCAGGTTTTGCATTTTTGGAGCAATTAAGCTACTTGGATGAAGCCATCTTTCAAATTTGGTTTGCCCAAGGATTTTTAAATTGCATAAAATATCTTCTCCTGGAAGGTGTATTTTATGCACACTTTTCTCCATCTAATTCCCGAAAGTTTTGCAAGCGTGTATTTTGTGTATGTAGGAAGTTAGCACCCACCCGTCTCCTAGGAAAATGAGATATTTTAGGAAATATTAAAAGGGCAGAATATTTTCCCTAAAAGGGAGGCAGAAATTCAACCTTTGTCAATGGGCCATTAAGGCCTGGGCCTGTCTATTCTACATTACAAAGATCTACCTCCTTCAGGCAGAGCCATAGTAGGAATCCCAAAGCCCTTTCATTACATCATCACCCAGCAAGGCTCAACCAAGCCTGGAACACAGACAACCTACAAAGTTACCCCTGCATGGCCCCACGGGAGTCTGACAACCAATCAGAATACAAGCTCAAATTCAAAAGCCCAGAGAGGGCAGAAAAGTCAGGCAGTCTCAGTGTCTCTTCCCTTTTTTTCTCTTCACCCAAGATCTTCAAGGCATGTGATCCCGTCCACTGTTAAAAACCATCTTTCCAAGTAGCCACCATGTTTCCAGGGTCTTTCTCCCCGCTTGGAACTGAACCCAGATGGACATTTCTTCCAATATGTATCTGTTATTGCATTCAGTTTTTTGAACTCACTAACCCAGTGAGTTGCAAACTCCACAGCCAGACGTCGATAAAATTGGGTTTTGCTATTTACAAGTGATGGTTTTCCAGAACGTTTTGGATGGAATAATGTTTTTCAAAGATCGCTCTGTTTGGTTAGTTAACTGTCTGGTTAAACAAATGGGGAAGATTGCAACTTTCCCTGTGAAATGGCAGAGCATAAGAAGCCAACCATCTATAAATCACATTTCCACACTGATAAATTTTGTGGAGAGCAGTCGGAGGTGATGGGGGAGCATATCTCGTGGATGCCCGAAAAACAACCCGGATGTCACTGATTTCCTTTGTTTTCAAGTCTCTGTTACAGCCCATTTAGCTGACAAAAAAGAAGAAAATTGCTCTTTGATGGCTATAAGGAAATTAAAAAAAAAAAAAAGCCAGAGGCCCAAAGATGAAAGAGAAGGCATAAACAAAACTCTGGTTACATGGAAGTGGGAGACGATAATGTATTTGCTTAAGAGAGAAAGATCAATGAATCACGAATTGGCTTCAATCAGCAGGGAATGAACGTGTCCAGAAGCCGTTCCACGAAGTTGATCCACTCAAAAGTTCGCCCAAGGATGAATGACTAAATATAAGATTTGGACTGGGATAAATGAAGACCTTTCTCGTTAAAGAGACCGTGCCCGGGTTCGATATTCTTTGAGGGCGTTCTTGTTTTCCACAAAGTGGGGCATGCGCCAAACGTACATTTGGTGGAATCGCAACAGCGATCTTGAAGGACCCCGTTTTTTTGGAAACAGACTGTGTACAGGTAGTTCTCGACTTAGGGGCACGAGGAGCCATATTGGTGGGCACGCGAGGGTTGCCCTAGCTCAGCTCCAGCGTGCATGTGTGCGCCGGCCAGCTGATTTTTGGGCCCAACAAAAGTTGGCAAATGGGCAGTTTCCGGCCTCCAGAGGGCCTCCGGGGAAGTGGGGAAGGCTGTTTTTGCCCTCCCCAGGCTCCTAGAAAGCCTCTGGAGCCTGGGGAGGGCAAAAAACGGGCCTACTGGGCCATCACATGCCAAAAGTGGGAGGAGCATGGGGGGATCATGCATGCCTGCATGGGGGGCAGGGCGCATAGAATTGGTGTGGGCACAGATGCGTGAGACCACCCCGCACTCCCCCAGCTTTTGGCATGCAATGGCAAAAAAGTTAGCCATCACTGGTATAGGGTCTACTTGGGCGGAGTGAGGGGATTGTGGGTAGATGACCTACAAGGTCCCTTCCAACTCTGTTAATCTGTATCTGTATCATTTAGTGACCGAAGCCACAATGGCACTGGAAAAAAGCGACTCATGACCATTTTTCATACTTCTGACCGTTGCAGCATCCCCCGCGGTCACTTGGTTTACATTCAGATGCTTGACAACCGTTTCATATTTATGACCGTGGCAGTGTCCCAGGGTGATTTTTTTGCGACCTTCTGACACGCAAGGCCAATGGGGAAAGCCAGATTCATTAAAAAAAAACCATGTGACTCATTTAATAACTGCAGTGATTCACTTAACAAATGTGGCAAGAAAAGTCGTAAAATGGGGCGAAACTCACTTTACAAATTTCTCACTTAGCAACATAAATTTTGGGCTCAGTCGTGGTTATAAATCGAGGACTATCTCTATCCACTACACCAGGGTTTGCACCATGTAATGCCGTAAACTATAGTTCACCAGTCATACAGTACATGCATTTGCAAACCAGACTAAGAGCAAAGCATCCATTTACAGTGGAACATCTGGTACCAACTCATGCAAGTCAAATTTTGGGAGTAAATGGGAAAATATACATAAAATAATGATATTCCCTTCCTTCTTTCTTGGAATTGCACCTGGCTTACCTGGACATCTCAGTTGCTTTCCCAACTCGTGCAATGGCCATGTTGAGAACTGTGAAAAAGAAAAATAGAAATGTGCGTTTGGTGGGACATCTTTGGCAAGAAATAAAACCAATCTGGAGGCAAAGCAAGAATTAAGCTGTCTTTCTAAGGTTTCTACTGTACCTCGCATGGTGATGTCCGTCTTCTTTGCTGCTCGTACCGTGTTTCCCCGACAATAAGACCGGGTTTTATATTAATTTTTGCTCCAAAAGATGCATTAGGGCTTATTTTCCAGTTAGGTCTTATTTTCGGGGAAACAGGGTACCTAGGACAAACACTGGCTGTTCTCCCAGGAGGATAAATTCAGAATCAAAAAAGAGACGAACCGCCCATGGTGACATCTCTGAGTTTTTCCTTTCTACACAATTTAAAATTCGGAAGCTAGCTAGAACTAACGAGGATTCAAAACCAAGAATGTGCTTTTTTTTTTGAGGTCTATCTGAACCTCTAGGACTAGAAGGGCCCTTTTGACTGAATTTTCATGGATTTTCAATTTTTAAGCGAGGCCTTACGTAGACAGAATGTGGACAATAACCAAGCCTAGGAATTGGGATGCAAGAGGGATACTGACCTGAGCCTTTTCATCTCTAATTGAAACCTTAAGGTGGCAGCTTGGAAGAGATGAGACCTTGCGATTCTTTACAGCCTATTATTAAGCAACATAGAGCAGCTGTAGCCTGGGATCTAGCTGGAAGTAGGAAAGGAGGCTGAGGACTAGATGGCAGGCCAAGCAGGCTGGAAGTCATGACTGAGACCCAATTGGCAGGCCTGAAGCCTGGTAGACTGAGAGACATGATTGAGGCCTAGTCTGCAGGCCTGAAGCCTGGAGGGCTGAGGAACACGACTGAGGCCTAGTCAGAAGGCTTGAAGCCTGATGGGCTGAGGGATATAACTGAGGCCTAGTCAGAAGGCCTGAAGCCTGGAGGGCTGAGGAACACGACTGAGGCCTAATCAAAAGGCTTAAAGCCTGATGGGTTCAGGACACATGACTGAGGCCTAGTCTGCAGGCCTGAAGTCTGATAGACTGAGAGACACGATTGAGACCTAGTCAGAGGGCTTAAAGCCTGATGGGCTGAGGGACATAACTGAGGCCTAGTCAGAAGGCTTGAAGCCTGGAGGGCTGAGGAACACGACTGAGGCCTAGTCAGAAGGCTTGAAGCCTGATGCTGAGAGATATGACTGAGGCCTAGTCTGCAGGCCTGAAGCCTGATGGACTGAGAGACACGATTGAGGCCTAATCAAAAGGCTTAAAGCCTGATGGGTTCAGGACACATGACTGAGACCTAGTCAGAAGGCTTGAAGCCTGATGGGTTCAGAACACATGACTGAGGCCTAGTCAGAAGGCTTAAAGCATGGTGGGCTGAGAGACATGATTGAGGCCTAATCGGAAGGCTTGAAGCCTGATGGGTTCAGGGACATGATTGAGACCTAGTCAGAAGGCCTCAATCTTTAAAGCCTGGAGGACTGAGGAACACAACTGAGGCCTAGTCAGGAGGCTTGAAGCCTGATGGGTTTGAGGGACATGACTGAGGCCTAGTCAGCAGGCCTGAAGCCGGGTGGGCAGAGGAAGATAATTGAAGCCTAGTTGGTAGGCCTGAAACCTAGTGGGCTGAGGGAGACAACTGAGGCCTAGTTCTCAGTTCTGAAACCATGTAGGGTTTGAGGCCTAGTCATGACCTGAGAGACTGAACGATATCCAGCACTCATCCTTAGAAAAGGAATACCCTGAGTGAACAGAACCGAAGAGAACAAGAGGAAGCCATTTCAAGCAGCTTCTCCTCCTGTTACTTGAGCCAACGGAGTCCCAGGTTTTCTGAAAGATTTTGATCCAAGGGCCTTCAAATGGCCGCCGGCCACTGAGGCCTTGTAGGCTAAAAGGCCCCCTGGGGCCTAGAGATGATTTCCCCTCCTTTACAAGCGACTCGGCCAGCCCTTGTGCCCTCCACGACTTATGGATCAATGGAAGAAGACCCGACATCCTCCCATTGGACTTGAGCCTTCATTTCAATCCCAGGATCTCAAGAAAAAGCCTTTTTTTTCCTTTCTCCCAAACCTGCTGCTTATTTCCCAGGAACGCAAATGGCTCTGAAAGGATTAGAGCATGTACAGAGTGTGACTAACTTGACCTTTGATTCCCTGCTGAGCTGAGCTCCATTGTAACCTAATGTGCCAACTGCAAAGACAAAAGCCCCTAGGCCAGGGGTCAGCAACCTGCGGCTTTGGAGCCGCATGTGGCTCTTTCACCCCTCTGCTGCCGCTCCCTTCACTCAAAATATGCGTCACAACCGCCTATGTGCGACACTCGCCGGCCCGCAATTTATTGAGCTTTTCAACCCCTGGTAGGCCAACCATGGATAAATGCAAGAAAAGAAAAGTTTCAGAAGAAAACAGAACGTTTAATTCAACTACATAGGCTAGTTTTGTGGCCGCTCAAGAAATAGTCAGGCACGGGAAGCGTTTTGTGGCTCCCGGTGTTTTCTTTTCTGTGGGAAATGGGTCCAAATGGCTCTTTGTGTCTTTTAATGTTGCAGACCCCTGCCCTAGGCAAATTGCCAAGTAGCTACTAAAGTAACTTGTGAAATCGAAAATGTGAATGCTGCCGGTTTGCTGCAACTTAAAATGTGTATTCTCGGCAACCTAATGAGAGAGAATAATGCTAACAAAGCTCTGAGTTATATGCCAGAAAAATGTACTTCTTTCCCCTTCTAAGGTCCGTTGTTCGCAGAAGCGCTGAGAAAATCATGAGGTTTGCGTGATATGAAATAATGTTTCTAACACTAGGACGATTGGTGCAAGCTGTGTCAACTATAAGAAGTTTGAGAAAAAGTTTTTTTTTTTGCACGCTCCTGCTTTTCTCTCTGACTGCTGTTTAAGGTGGGAGACTAAAAAGAGTCACCCAGTTTTGCTTTCTAGCTAGAAATAAAAGCTGATTATCAGTTGCCTCGTGTTGTTTCACTGGATTTATCAGATTCTGAGCTGCATTCAAAAACCTTAAAAGGTAAAAGGTAAAGGTTCTCCTCGCACATATGTGCTAGTCGTTCCTGACTCTAGGGGGCTGTGCTCATCTCCGTTTCAAAGCCGAAGAGCCAGCGCTGTCCGAAGACGTCTCCATGGTCATGTGTCCGGCATGACTCAATGCTAAAGGCACACGGAACGCTGTTAACTTTCCACCAAAGGTGCTCCCTATTTTTCTACTTGCATTTTTTACGTGTGTTCGAACTGCTAGGTTGGCAGAAGCTGGGACAAGGAACAGGAGCGCAACCCGTTACACGGCACTAGGGATTTGAACCGTTGAACTGCCGACCTTTCGATCGACATGCTTAGCACCTTAACCACTGAGCCACCATGTCCCTTACAGCTCGCTTAACAGTTTTTCATGCAGCAAGAACCCAAAAGGTTTTCCACCCCATTGAGCCTCATCCCAGCTTCCATCTCCTCCGACCTCTTGGAAAAAGTGCTGCCTCACCTGGCAAGGCAAGATTTTCCCCTTGGGGTTCCTTGCCTTGGTGTTGCGGAGCAGACATCCCCCCCCCCAGCTTTTACCAATCGCTGCCCTTAATTGGTCTCAGCTTTTAAAAAATTTATTTTTAGTGCCATTGGCCTCGGCGTCTCCCCCCCCCCCCCCAAGTCGATCTTATCGGCAAAAAAAATTACAAAGACAAGGCCGGTCTGTTATTTCTACGAAATCAGATCCAGGTTGTTAAGGCTTTTCTTCACCCGGCTCCTCTTCACATCTCATAAACTTCATCTTCAGCCTGGGAAACCCGCCTTTGGTGAAGCTTTACGGGAGCTCACTCGGATTCTTATTCTAATAAGGCCATAAGTGGACTTTCGGCTAAGGGGAGGCTTCCACAGTGAATTATCCCAGGCCCTCCATCACCACCCCTGGCAAATGGCCGCCCTCCAGAATCCGTGGGAGTTTTTGCAAAAAGCTTTTAAAAAGCCAACGATGGAAATTTGATGCACCAGCTAAGGTTGAAAAAATCCAGAGAGGCTCTTCCTGCAAGCCTTCTGCATGGAGATAAGCAATAGCTGTAGCACTTAGGTTTATACACCACTTTACAGCCCTCTCTAAGCGGTTTACAAAGTCAGCCTATGGCCCCCAACAATCTGGGTCCTCATTTTACCCACCTCGGAAGGATGGAAGGCTGAGTCAACCATGAGTCAGTCGGTCAGGGTCGAACTGCTGGCAATGGGCAGAGTTAGCCTGCAATACTGCATTCTAGCCACAAGGAAGGAAGGAAGGAAGGGAGGGGAGGGGAAGGGGGAGGGGGAGGGGAAGGGGAAGGGGAAGGGAAGGAGGTAGCAACAGCATTTAGACTTATATACCGCTTCACAGTGCTTTACAGCCCTCTCTAAATGGTTTACAGAGCCAGCCTATGGTCCCCAACAATCTGAGTCCTCATTTTACTCACCTCGGAAAGATGGAAGGCTGAGTCAACTTTGAGCCAGTGAGATTTGAACTTCTAAACTTCTGGAAGCCGGCAATCAGCCAAAGTAGCCTGCAGTACTGCATTCTAACCACTGCTCCACCACGGCTCTTTAAGCAGGCTTTTATGGACAGTCATGATGGGCATGCACATATATGCATGCTAGGATAAAGTCCTGCATCGAGTTCTTAGCACAATTCACGAAAAGCAATCACCAGGGGCCCAAAGTGGGTTGCAATACTCTGGCGTGGCCTCTAGAGGGCTGCAGTGGGTCTCATAGGGTCTCTTTGCCGCCATCTGGTGGTGATTTCGATTTCTGCAGATCGGGATAGCGTGAGTTCAAGAGAGGGAATGCTGATTTGTCTTCTTTGCAATTGTAGGCGCTGAGCTAAGAAGTGGAGGAGACACGCACCAAATCAGATTGCCCTCATTTTCTCTACCCTGGTTCAGAGTCCTAGGTTTTGTTCTGGGCACCCCAGTTCAAAAAAGGTCAAACTGGAACAAATTTAAGGGAACCCCATCGAAACCAGGAGGAATGGTTGAAGGATCTGGGGTGGGTTAGTGTAGTGTTTTTCAGACA